CAACTTTTAAGGATTTAAAAACTTTATATTTTTTAAGTTCTAAACTATGAAGTGATTTTTCCTGTATCAGATACTATCAATTGGACTACCACTACTTTAATATCTGTATCCACTACCATCAATACAAGATTTAAAGTCAATTTGACATTTTAAAAGCGGTCTCATAAAAAAATGTAGTAATTCATTTACTTCTGTTTGCTCTTTTTATAACTTTCATCTCTTTACCAGAACGATACTAAGAGTTACCTGTAGGTAGCTTGGGGAGAATCAAGTATGATCCACGCAGAAAAATTATTACTTGGCGCGGCACTTGATGATCCAGCAAATCAAAGATTTGTTCTCTTGTCGGACAGGTAGACTTTTTAATTCAAAAACATCTCAACACATCTCTCAGATAAGTCTGTCTAGGCGGCTTGTTAATGTGCATGCACGTTCCTTATTGATGCATGGCATTCTCAACTATTGGTTTTCACGAACTATCTTTTTATGCTTTCGTTTTCCTCATGACCCTGATTTACTTGATTCTTTCCCATAAATGGAGAAGTCCAGCATCTTTCAAAGCACCCCTTCATATATTTTGAAGTTCCTTTGATGATCAAACTATTTAGACACATTTCTTTGGAGTACCTATCTAACTAAGATCGAATCTCTTATTAGCCATCTCAAGCTTAATAACCTATTCACACCTTTTGTTTTGTAAATTTACACACAGCTCAAACCGTGTGATCTGAATTGCGTTTGAGGGAATACTTGCATTAGATATCAAGACTCCGGTATAGCTGTAATATTTTTGATTCTTATTATTGAAGAAGAAGCAGTCATACAACATTTTTTAGACATGCTTAGCACCAATGCTAATTACTATCATTACTATATTGAATAGACATGGATATGGTAGGAAGTGAATTCACACTGGAATTATTGAATGGACAGCACAATCATATTCTTGCTTGGTAAATGGTCATAGTACATTTATAAGACAATACAAATTTCGTATCCAAAAAGGGGAAAAAAGAAAAGAAAAAGAAAACAAATGCATATTCAGAACTTTCTGGCGCACATACAGTCCATGCTAAATAACTTAAAAATCGTCCAGTATGCAGTTGCACTAGAGACTAAGTACCTAGAAAAAATTATCTTCTTGACTTCTCGTTAATGAATCATGAGAAAACATACTTCAAAAATGTAGTGTGTTCCAATTCTTTTATCCATGTATTTCCCTTCTGTTTGTTTCACCCAATTATTGAGTTATGCTTTGTGCCTTTGTTTTAAGAATTTTTCTCTAAATGTGTGATGGTTGATATTGCAGCTGTGTCCCACTGTACAACTTTAGCTTCATATACAACTACTTGATGGCTTCTCCAAGGAGCTTTGTGGACAGGTAACATGGATGATAAAACTTGTGAGTTGTGTGATTGCTGGACAGGTGGTTGATTTTGTGGAACTGGTAGGGAAGGATAGATATAGAAAAAGCAATCAATTCCTTAAGTGGGTTCAGGATTTAAGGATCTGGTTGAATTACTAATGAATTATTTCGAATTCTCGTATTTGCATCAACATTGGATGAATGAGGTCTGTTTGTCTTCCAGTTTTCTTGATAAAAAGGATGTCCGCTACAACCCAAGGATGTCACCCTATATACCAATGAGCAAATGGCGAAAAGGGTCACAGGTAATTGTCCCTCAGTCTGAATTATAAGCACATCTATGTCCCACCAAGCTCTACTATGAAATTCATTACTCTATCGTGATTAAAAAAACTAAATCCATTAACTTGTGTATTTTTCTGCTCTAGTGGAGTTGAATTTTCATTAATTTCTTGCTAAGCAAAATTCAAGGCATATGATAGGGTAGAGGGGTGTTGGCAAGCAGGGTGTGACAACTCTAGAAGCTTCGAAATGCTTGTTTTTTCAGATTAATCCAAAACCATGTTCAAAGATCAAAGGAAGGAGCACTTACCAGCTCCTTCAAATGGGAAAATGATGTACAGAAGTAAAAAGTAACTCAGAAACCAAAGAGGTCTGCAAAAAACTTGTGCTGATAACAACTAAAAGCACCTATAAACATGATCTAAAAGGAACCTATGTGCTTGAAACGTGTCAACCTATATAACTACTTAACAAAAATTGAAAGATATTATTCAGAAGGAAATTACACACCATCTTAATGATCTTTGTTGAACTTGTATCTGTGAATAAAAGAAATAATTCAATACGTGAAAATGTAGTCCATGAAATCTGTGAGTCCTTGCCGTCTTAAGCGTAGGGTTAGGCCTTATGGTCAATGAAGTGAATTGAGAACCATGAGGTATTGGGTTCGAATCCTAGCGGAGACAAAAACATTTAGCGATTTCTTCTCATTTGTCCAATCATTGGTGGACAGGGTTAGCAGGTACCCCATGGAATTAGTTGAGGTATGTGTGTTAGTTGACCCAAACACCATGAAAGTTTCTTGTTAGATCAAGACTGTGTTCTAAACATAAGATTTTAGCATGGCGGTCAATCAATGTGGGAAATATTGATTGATTTTTGCCCCCTAAAATGTCATTGTGACCTACTAATTTTAAAGGATAGTTGCTGAACTTCAATGAGAAGAACTATTTTTTTAATTGACGAAATTTATGTGTGCTCAAGTTATTGTTGCTCTTTAAACATCTTCTTTAGTTCCTGATCCAGAGTCATTTTTAGTTTCATCCAGCAGTTTTTTTCAACTTTTAAAGTTCATAGTTTCTCTATTCTATAAGCTAGATAGACTTGTTTTTTGAAGCTCAGATGTTTTTTAAAAAAATCGTAATATCTCAAATCAATAAAATATACTGCATGATCATATGCGTATGACACTGGTCCATATCTGCTTCTATGAGTTTTGACTTGACATTTTAGTCCAGTGGATCACTTTAATCAGGAAGCATGCAGAAGTGGTGGCAGATGATGATGCTGTGTTTCCAGTCTTCAAGATGTTCTGCAAGGTTCAATATCATATGCTCTTCCCTCTTTAAACTTCACATGTGTGTTTACATGGATAATGCTATAAGGTTAACGGCATGCTTAATAAAGCATTGGTGCTTCAGGTTTATAAAATTACTAGTGCTACTCAACAGCCTAAAAATCCCTTATTTACTAATGTATACATGATGATGGACATGTTTTTGTAGTTTAATGTCTTCCGTAGTTGGGTTACTGTCTGTTACATTTTCTAATTGGAACTGTTAAGTGTGGTTTTACACTGATGCATCATACCTCTGCTTCATTTAGGTGATAACTGATAGAGTCATGATTTAATCTTGCAGAGACGTCCAGCGCTGGAAGCCAGTAAGGGAAAAAAGAATATTGTAAGTCAAGAGTGCCTTCTGCTAAGAAGATGCATTTGAATATTGTGCGTTGGCCGTGATGCTGTGCCGACTTCCTCAGTTGGCTCCTCTCTCTTGGCCCCATCCTTTCTTGCGTCCGTGTTACTTTTGTCATTCCAAGAACCACCCCCACCCCCATCCCCACCCACCCCACCCCGTTATACAGACATAACTTCTCCTCTATTGATACTTGTTTCTTCTAACCTTGAAATAAACCTTGCAGAAACTTCAGAAGCAGCACAACTGCATTCCAGATGAACACTATGTGCAGACATTGTTGGCGGTAAGTATCAGGCATATTCTTCCCATCTTTAGGCTTCTTGTCTGTTCTCAGGACTCTGAACTTACCAGACTTATTTACCTAGGTTATGTTTATCTTTAGTCTTATTGTGTGTTCTCAGGACTCCGTACTACATCTTTCTTTAGGAAATCCATTCTTTTAGATAAGATACACAAAGTACTCATGCTTATAGATATATCAAGGATTTTTCTGTGTGGACTGCTTTTGAGAATTATTCTTCGGGACTAAGGTTCTAGATTTTAATTGGTTTACAGATACATGGGCTTGAAGGAGAACTTGAACGTAGAACGATAACCTATACAGAGTGGAATGAATCTGTGACAAATATGGAGAAAAAGGGTTGGCATCCCATAACATTTAGCTATGCAGATGCTGGGCCTGTACAGATCAAGAGAATAAAGGTGTGTATTTGGATATGTCTAATAATTTGTCATCTCTAGCTTTGGGCATTTGACGCTATGATCATATCTGGTTACAGTTTCATGTTGGCATAGTTTCAGCTTCTCTTTCTTTGACTTTGCTTTTTGGTTTCCTTGTTAACTTCCCCGCTGGTTTTCCTTCATTCCCTTTTTTGGTTTTCCTTCCCTGACTTCCATAGTTGTTTTCTTTCTTAAAATCTTTTGTTGGTTATTTATATAACTTCTCTAGTTGTTTTTGTGTCTTCAACTCTTCTGTTTGGTATTGCATTAAGATATATTGCCTACTGAACTGATTGCTTTGTAACTTGCTATCCTTACAATTTTTACAGGATATCCGCAATGTTTACTATGAAAGCGAGTACAGGACAGAGTGGTGTCGGAATAATTCTACGCTAGCCCCCTGTTTTCTGATTGCAAGGAAATTCTCAGGAGGGGCTGCAATGCGCCTCTTGAGTGAAGGAATAGTTTCTCCATTCGACGCCTCCTCTATGATGAATTTGACACCATGATATATTAATTAGTCTCTATTTATTAGTTTTTATTTGTCATATACTTTGATGAGAGGATAAGTTGCCAATTATAACTGGAGTGTGTCACAACACCTCTAGCTTACTGATTTAGGAAATATACACAAGGAAGCTGATCTAAGTATGGCTCATGTAAAACAGTACTGTAGATATTTTAAAAGAATCACATAACACTCTTGTGGTTATCTGTCTTAAAATGTTAGGAATTTTTTTTATTTCCTTTTTTTGGGTACATAGTGCATTATATTTCGAATTTGAGAAAACGAGGATTGTTGATTTGTGTTGTATACTTCATTTCCAGCTTCCACTATCTTGTGTTCTTTTCCCACAGATGCTATAAAAAAAGGTTTGCCCTTTCTTTGTGAATCCTAACTAATAGACCATAAATCGAACGAGATGTTTCAATTTCTTGGCTATCTATACTGATGTCAGATTGTTTCTAAAATGACTTGTATTGTTAGCAAAATTAGGGAAATGTCCATACTACCCGAATACAAATATTTCTATCAAGTTTACTTGTTTCACTAAGAACTTGTCTAGAACACTTGCTAGACTCAAACAAGTTCCTGTTTCCATCCTTGATGGCGCGCTCTGAGCTCCCACATAGAAGTGACTTGTCTCTGTGCTTCTAAAGCATTTTCAGCCTTCTCTCTAGCTTCTTCACAAGTTCCCATACCTGATGTACATTTGTCTGCCTCCTTTTGATATTGGGACACCATCTTTTTTGATTCAAGCAGTTGCATGTCTGCTCTTCTCTGGTTTTCCACTGTTTCACCTTCCATTTGCTTTAATTCCTCTGTCAAAAGAGCTGTGAAGTTTCTCTCCTCCTCCTCACTCACCCCGAGATCATGTTCCATGCAATCTATGAAAAAAATAGAGGGAAAAAAGACTCTTTTATCATTCAAGAAATTTGGTGATAATAATAACTAGCAAGTATTCATACCTATAATATTTTGTTTGGAAACTCCTTTTTTACTAATTCTACTTAATATTTTATGCTTATTCTATTTAACCCCCCCCCCCCCCCCAAAAAAAAAAAAAGAAGAGGGGGACTAGCAAAAGGGTGAGAAAACTAACCTGTAAAAGTACTCGCATTCAAACCTGGTAAGAAAAAAGAGGTGAACCATGTCAAACACTCTATTGGAAACATCTAATATCAAGAGTGTAGCTATGAATTGTTTCATTTGCTTGACATAGAGGTAGATTCAAAATTTAGAGTCTAATTGTGGATTTGAAATAAATGTGGTTTGCTTACATCTCATTTTAGCTAAGCCAAAATATTATGTCAGCTATATCATTAAACATACATACTACATATTATACACATGCATGTGAAGTACTAAAAATTGATTCAAAAGGGTATTGTATATGTAATACCTTGTGGAAAAGAGTGAATTTGTTTATCATTAGAGCAATCACAAGGACAAGAAGGGCAAGAATAATGGGTGGATGAAGAAATAGATTGAGAGAAGTGCCAATAGAGGGGTGGACCAACTACATGATAAGCAGTTATGCACAACCCCATAATTAACACCCCAAACATCACCTGCTTCCCACTCCATCTGCTTCTTCCATGTTTATTCATTTTTCTTCTCTCTCTGTGTTTGGATCTTTTCTTCAACGCTTATGTTTGTCTACATGTTGAAGAGGTTTTTCAGGATCTTTGTGCTGTGTTTACCATGTTTTATATGTCTTTAAGAGGTTTTTCAGGATCTGCATAACCAATAATCAGCTCTTTTTTGCTTTAAGCCCAACAAAATTCTAAATTATTTTCTTTTAGATAATGTTTAGTATATATAATATGTAATTCAAATAATTATTAATGATATTATTATGTACCATCTTTTTAATCGTTTGTTGTCATTTTGTTATTGGTTATAATGATTATTCACTCTATATTACTTTTAGGGATTCTGTTAAGGTAATAATAGTAGATGAAAGTGATAGATGTATAATTAATATTGCAATTATTTCCTAATTTCTCGTATTCACTGGAATTTATTTATTTTTTGAAAAAAAACAAAACATCTTTGGCTTGGTAAGGTTTCTTCTTATATTAACAGACCCACTTCTAGCTAATTGGACCGTGACATACTCCAGATTGGAATTATAAGTGCAAGGAAATAAACTCAGTTTAATAAACATTGTTTCCCAAATGTCTGTATTGATCATAGAATAATGTTAACCGTTGCCATATTTGGATGTAGTTTTTCAAAATCAACAAATCTTACTGAACATCAACTATCTCAAAAAAAAAAAAATATGAAATGACTATAATATCAATTGAATGGAGTGCACCAACATGGGTTATGATGCACTGGTGGAAGTGTTTCACCCTTAATCAGAGGGTCTTGGCTCCGTACCATGGTATAGAGAAAATCTTGTTGGGCAATAGCATGGTATAAATAAAGAGGGCTGAATACTTGTCAATGTTTTCCTACTTAAAATTGAAACGCATGAACTGAGGCAATATGTAAATGTTCCCGATTCGCTGCAAAAAATTTAAGGTACAAGTTTCCTTGGGTTCTTTCACTAATAGGTGCATCAACCTAGTCCGGTTGCTTCTTTGGAAATTATCTTGTCCCATTTGGTCGATCCAATTCAAATATTTGTACTGCAATTTCAACTTTTAGCAGTAAAGTATGCATATGTTGTACTGAAACATGGCTTAGAACAGGAGGTCGGAATGGAGCATATGTATAATAACAAAACAATGCTGGCTAATTAGCAGACTGAGAGCAGGTTTTCTTCTCTTCAAGTGTGAGTGGTAAGCATATAGCAGGATACAATGGACGAAACGTACTTACCTAATATAATAGTGTTAGACCAACTGCTCCTTGATAGAAAACAAGTCTTAGATCCCTTAAGGAGGTCCTAGGCGACAAGCATAGAATGACGAGTGACTGCAGGAAGAGTCAACGGATTGGAGGCAGGAGGAAAGCTGGAATTGAATATCACTGACAAGATCTTCCTAGGCAATTCTGACAATGAATTTCACTGACAAGAAACAATTGAGCAAATATCAAAAGATAAAATCATATTAACACTTTAGGTGAAGCAGATAGTGAAGGGATTACGACTCTTATGCAGAACAGAATAGTACCTTCCTCTTCTCCATCAGTGGATTGGCAGTTAGTAGTTGTAACACTTCATGGAATCCTTGCTTGTGCTCAGATTAAACTGATATTTCCTTGTTCAATATCTAGTACCACAATGACATACTGAACAAATTGACATTTAGTCGAGTATCTGCAATGAAAAAAACAGCACGGAGAAAATGTTGTTCATAGGCGCTTATGATATATCCTCTGTGTTAGACATGATTACCCTTTCACTGATCTCCTCACTCAAATTCTTCAGAACCAACATTATATCTTCCTGCTGAGGATGAGAGGTTTGGCCCATAAAAAAAGTTGTTATTACTCCGTGTAAGTCAATAAAACTCCAACCAGGAAGCTTTTTGAGCCCAAGTTCTCTCAACTGGACCCAGGTCTTACCAACGCCTTCCCACTGGGCCATTGAAGCATAACTATGAGCCAATTGTACATACCTTCCAGCATCCTCGTGATCTAACTCTGAGATTTCTTTGGCAACGACATCCCTTAGTTCTTCCAGGGCTTTTGTTTTGCAAGCATCAAGAATTATACCCAAAGCATTGGCCATTGGTTCTGGAAATTTCATCTTATAGAAGTTGTATCCATCTTTCACCTTACCAGCTCGACAAAGTAGGTCAACTATACATGCACAATGTTCGAGTTCAGGTTCAATCTTAAAATCCCTTTCCATAGTATCAAACAAGTTCAAACCATGGTCCACAAGTCCATTATGACTACATGCATAAAGAACAGATAAGAAAATAACACGGTTTGGTGTAAGACCACTTTGCACAAGCTCCGTATACAACGCCAGAGCGGCTTCCCCTTCACCATGACTGCCATATCCAGAAATAATTGTGCTCCATAAAATGAGATCGCGTTCTCTGACCCTGTCAAAACACTTTCTCGCACTGTCTAAGTCACCACATTTGCAGTACATATCAACCAAAGCTGTACCTATCTTAACACAAGGTTCAAGATAGCTCCTTACAACAAGATTGTGGATCCACTTCCCTTGCTGATATGCTCCAATCGAGGCACAAATTTGAAGAAGGCAAACCACTGTTACTGAATCAGGTCTTTGATGGGCTATCCTCATTTCATTAAACAAATGCAATGCCATTGATAAATGCCCATTCTGGGCATTCCCGGCAACAATTGCATTCCAGGAGACCACATCTCTGTTTTTTATCATATGAAAAACAATAAGAGCTTGCTTCAAATAGCCACATTTTGAATACATAGTGATAAGAGAATTTTGGGCAGCAGTGTCAATGGCCATTCTTTGCCTGAACATATAGCCATGTATAGAAGTTCCTACTTTCAATGAACCTAATTGAGCACAAGCTGCAAGTGCACTTGCTATGGTAGTTGTAGAAGGTTCAGTTCTACTACACAACATGCTTTGAAACACTTCAAGTGCTCTATCTGCACGTTCATTCTGAACAAGTCCTGAGATGATAGTTGTCCACAAAACTACATCTTTATCTTTTGCTCGCTCGAAAATCTTAAATGTATAATCCATGTTCCTACATTTTAAATACATAAACATAAGTGATGTCTGAAGATGCACATCTAATTCAAATCCAGCAGCAACTATCTGTCCATGCACCACTTTTCCAAATTCAGCACTACCATCTTTTGCAATTGCAGAAACCAACGCCCCATATGTTTGATGATCAGGCCATGAATTTTCTGAACTCATCCTGTACATAAGCGTCAATAATTCTTCTGTGTTCCCCACTAAAGCACACGCTGAAACCAAAGAATTCCAAGAAACAATATCTTTTTCGTCCATCCACTCAAATAACTTCCTAGCATACTCAATTCTTCCACATTTACCATACACATTCAACATACAATTCAACAACGCAATGTGACCCATAAAACCATATTTTACTATACAAGTATGCAAACACTCCACATGAATGCTCTCTGATACTCCAGAAAGCAGAGTCAACACGGTAACAGAAGTCGGCTTTATTCCTTCATGTAACATAGAATTGTACAGGTAAAAGGCATGCTCAAAATCACCAATTCGTGAGTAACACCCAATAAGAGTCGTCCATGGGACAATGTTCCTCTCAGGCATTGTATCAAACATTTTGTGTGCATGCTCTGTAAGCCCAAAAGAGGAATAAAAACTGATTAGGGAAGACCCAATATAAGGATCAGAAGAAAACCCATTAACGACCACATGTTGGTGTAGCAAAAGACCGTGCGGGAGGAGGTTAAGAGAAATGCAGGCTTTGAGGAGAGTGGGGAAAGTGAATGGGTCAGGACGTACAGAGGACTTGAGCATGGAGTCGTATGTGAGTAAAGCATGATGGTGGGCACCTTCTGAGGAAAGGCGGTGGAGGGTGGCGTTGAAGGACTTGGTGGTTGCGGCGGCGGCGGCGGAGTGGAGAAATGGCGGCTGTTTTAAAGGGTGGAAGAGGATGTTGAGTTTGAGCTTATGCATAATTCATGGTCACATTATTCCGGGTTTTTTCTGCACTGATCTTTTTGTTCAAGATTTATAGAAGGTATACATACCCAGGTCACCAGAGTTTCCATATTGGTACTAAATACTAATCCCTTCAAATTTATTATTGACATTATATTAGCTAACATCGAAAATTTAAAGTTCACGAAGAGCTATAGTTTATGAGTAAAAAATACGTGCAGCGACATCACTGAGATCAAATATGACTTTACATTAACACTCAGTGACCTTAATAGATAAAAATAATAATTTTATGACTTAAATAATACATAACTCATGTTTGCACAAGTTACGACTGTTAGCTGCCCTGCATAGTTTAGTCGTTCTATCAAAAAAGAAGATCCACGGACCAAAAGTATTCTCACAGATTATCATCAATTAGTACATCTAGACGAGAGTCTATCAAATCCCAAAATACTATTGAACATCGAGATCGCAGCTCAAGAGTCAAGACTATGTTCAGCAGTAATAATAGATAGAATACAGACAGGATATTGTAGCCACATAGCCAATGAGGTCCATAGTGGCATCGTACAAACACTCATATTCCGACATGAAGCTGCAAAATCTTAAGGTACATGTTTGGCTCAAGCTCTCTTCACTAAACTGGGTTCATCAACCTAGTTCGATGACTACTTCGTTGGATATTCCCTTGCACCAAATATAGTAGATCCAACTCGAACATTTGTACTGCCCATCTCAACCTGTAGTAATAGACAGCATTATAAGTATAGCAGAACATGAGGTCAAACGAAGCATATGTAGAATTCAATACCAATGCTGGCTAGCAAGCACGAATGTGTGCTTGTTTCTTTTATTGAATATAGCAGGACACAAGGATAAAATATGCTTACCTGATACAATAGCCTAGACTACTCCTTAAAAGAAAATATCTTACATAATTAAGGGGGCCATAGGCTACAAGCATAGGTTGATGGGTGACTGCAGTACTAGTCATCAGATTGGAGGTAGGATGGAGGTTGGAACAGCGCATCACTGATAAGATCTCCCAAAAGAATCAACAACTAATCAAATAAAATTCTACTTGTGATACTAAATTTTTCTTTTCTTTTTTGAGAGCGTCAAACGAAATTCTACTTTTAACAACAATCCACCCTACAGATATATAATATCAGCCACAGAAAACAAGTACACATGGGAAACTGATAGAGAATAGCGCAAATATGAAGGGCAGCCGGCATTCACACAGGGTCCAGGAAGATCCACACCCCCAAGAAGTATGATATAGGCGGGCAGCTTACCCTAACTAACATAAGCATCACTAGTTGGTTCCAATGTTCAAACCGGGTCACATGACTTTTACCTTATCAAAAGATAAAAACAGACTAACCCTTGAATTGTAACAAGCTGTTAAGGGGTGAAACTACAATCCTAGTCTGAGCGTCTTAATCCCATGGGTGTGGCGGGGAGCTGGGCGAGTTTATTGTCCAGCGATAAAGCATTATACATCAGACTCAAGAAGATTCTAACAACAGAGACCAGTAATGAAAACTGAGTCAGATGTCTAGTTAATACTTTGGTTTAATTTATAAAGAGTGATTGTATAATTGGTGCACTCAGACTACCACATGCTCCCCAGAGAACTCATGTTATACAAGTTCCTTCCAAGCTTACTAATGATTTGATGTGCTTAGTGACAAGTCAGGTCACTCACAGCAAGTTCAAAGTCGCCTGACATGCCCATTGACAGCTCACATTGATCTTCAGATATTCCAAGTGCCTCGCAAACTTCACTTCTACATTTTGCTAAAGTCTGAAACCAAGCATGACAAATAGCAACATATTTGAGTTGAGGATATAACAATAGCAACCAGGCCAAGAAGAAACAACAAAGATAAAACCTCAACCTTAAAGTTTTCAGGAGTCGATGTATAATCTGGCATTCCAATAGTCATCAAGCCACAGAATTCAAGATTAGGGCAGTTTGAAGTAACATGTTTCACGAGTTCCAGACACCCATCTGGTTCAACACCAGATTTAGCTGCAATTATGGAATCAAATCATGATTAGCTTTTCCTTCATGAATATAGTAGTGTTCACAAAAATAGATCAAATGACTCTTAATAAATCAGAGACATACTCCAGATACCCACTTTCTTCCCCGCTTGTATTAACTTGGATAAAAACTTTCAATGGCTTTCTTCCAATGTTCGCAGCCACACGGTCAAGCTGATTTGCAATCTACAAAATATATTAAAGTATTAAACAAAATATAAGAATCTTTGCAAGATGGACAGGATTTTGCTAATTCTTTGAACTGTAAATATGGTGGCCAAAATTTCCTTAATGCTAATAAATATACGGTAACCATTCTCAAAAATAAAATAAACACTACTCACAATATTGAATATTATAGTATAAATATTCTTGTTAGTGCTTCAACTCATATTCCCCAAATGTCTATCCCTCTCCAATAGCTCCGAATAAATTAAATATGTGCATTAAAATAAAAAGGCTTCTTATTAAATTCACTTAATAACCCTTTTTTTTTTCTTACTAAAACCGGCTTTATTTCCTTCTTGCACAGACTCTTCACTTTCGGTGCCGCACCTGTGTTGACACGTCGTGGATGTAGGTGTGGGATTTGTACCAGATGTGGTCAAACGATTTTGGATACTTCGACCAAAACCGATCAAGAAATTCGAGATAAATACAATGATTTTTGAATTGAAACAAAAGTTAAGAGTGAAATCATTATTAGGCATATGTTTTTTGTATTGTTAAAAGATGTTTGTATTAACAAGTCAACAACCAGAATATGTTCTAAAGATATTTACTGGACTAGGAGACAAATTAGTAGCAGAGTCTGTGTTAGTTACCTTTTCATCATCTACTGTCTCCACCATAGCAAGATTTGGCACTCCAGCTGAAAACAAAGATGACGAGAATTTATTATAAGCTCTATACATTTATACCCGTTGCACAAAAATGTGGCTCAAATTCGTCATTCAAGTTATGTCATGCATGCCAACTCAGAGAGGAGATAGAATCTTTTTGTCCATCATCTGACTGATGTAAGTGAAGGCGAGCTGTTTCACCATATCTAGCATTTTTTAAAATATTTGCAGTACCTAATATAATCAAAATTTGATGAAGCAAGTATGTTTCTTTCACCAAGATAAAGTTTACAACTCTTGAAACAACCCTTCCCTCCACGGACTTCACCAGGACGCCAAAAAAAAGTCTTCTCCCCTTGTTTCTCCAACAAAATTATCATGTAATCACGATTTTTACGATTTCGCTTCATCCTGAAACTATTTTCATAGAAAGGTACATTTCTCCTTATTGGTCCATAAGGAAAAGGATGGGAGAAGGAACAGTGAAGGAAGGAAGGAGAACATACTTAAAAGTGGCTTGACTTTATTGCTCTGCAAATTCCCTATGAAATGCCACTCTATATCATCTGGAAGCTGCAATTCACCAAAGGATAGCAGTATAAACACCTCATCTGAAACACAATACTTCACATTGTTCCCCACAGAAATTTTCAACAGCCCACATAAAAAATAAAACTTACCATGAAGAAAATACTCTCTCACACACAAAAAAAAAAGCACTAACTAGCCCAAAACAAAGAAAATAATCAAAAAATTGATACATGACATGGCTAAATCTTAGAAGAATGAACAAGTGCAAAACACCAATTGAATGTGATTATGATGTCTGTGAAAGGTTAAGAACTGGCAGACTCTGAAGCTAGTGAACTTCTGAAGTAGAAGACATATTAGGTGATTCACACCATGGAAGGGACAGGAAAGTCCTGAACTGTATATGACAAATAATAAGGTAACTTGGTAGCACACTTGAGGCATCTTTCGACTTACTCGAGGGATTAATCAGCAAGGTCTATTGGACAAAGCGGGCAATACTGTGCATAAGCAGGTTGGGCTATAACAATAATTCTAAAAGCAAACTATCTCCTCTTGGCAATATTCAGAAAGAAAATCAATTCAGCTACAGGTGAAAAACTTCATTTTCCTATAAATATAGTGTATCCCAAATAACAAAAACATAAAAATACCTGAAGGGCATTTGTTTAAAAGATCTAATTTGTCTTAATATTAATCCATACTAAGCTAAAAACAACACACAATTGAAGCAGAACATTCCTATACTAAATACCAGTTAATTGAAATTAAACTACAAGACAGGATTAGATTACATAAGCCCAAAAATTTGCCTACAGTATTTGTATTGGATAAAACTTAACCTTAATAAAATGACTCCTAAAGTCAAATAAAACAAAAAAATTCGATCAGCAAACCAATCAATCATATGTTTTCTATGCTTAGATTATGTAGTGGCCATCACACACGAGTATAGAACCTTTACCTGAGGAGCTTTCTCAATGAGCTCTTTGACGTAATTTTCACCGAAACAACGATGACCGGCGTCGTAAACTTGTTTGAGGAGAGATACTGGCTTAGTTTTGCTTACAGCCACCAGCCTTACTTGGTCCGATCTGCGGCCACATCGTTCAGCCACGTGTTCAATCCGCTGAATTACCGACCGTACTGCCGTCGCAGCGACACCATCCGTAGCGGAAGCAGCAGCCATTCCTGAATCTGACGGTTCCGTCTCCAGCACTGCACTTAATGAATCTTTTTTCTCGCCTTTTGTTGTTTCCTCGTCCACTGATTTTTCTAGATTGGTCACTTCGAATTTATTGGGGGACATAATATGCAATTCTCCGAAATATACATTTCAAGCATACGAGTACCTTTTTTTACATAAAAAATTTGTTTATTGTAATTTGACTTATATTAAGGAATTTAAAAAAATAAGATTTGAACATTATGATTTTAAATAATAAAGCATATAATGTATAAAAATATTTCAGATCTTCTGAATTTATATCATATAAGATATTAAAATTAATTAATTATCGAATTAGAAAAAAAATCTTTTGAAATACATTTAAAAAGGAAATTGAGATAAATCAAAGTGTTTGCTGTCGCTAAATGAAATCCCATATAAGAAGTTCTGGATAAATATTTTTTACTTTGTTTGTAAAAAGTGTTTTAAGTTAAAATTATAAATTAATTTATTTTATTTTGAATCAAATATTATTTAAATATGTTTGTGATAGTGGAGATGGTTTGTATTGTGATGTGGTTGATGCTAATAGCATGTGGTAGTGATGGTGATTTATAGTTATGATTAT